TTCACCTACTCATTTTGAGTAATATATACCTATTCAATATCAGCATAAATGAGAAAGCACTTTCATACAATGGTCAGATATAGAACTTGGATAGTCCTAAACGCCATAACTAAAAACACTGGGACCTCCAGTTCTGTGATCACATATGCATATAAAAAGGAAGGCACATTTTAAAAGATGTCTGACCCTGATGAGATACATCAGAGTCAGCCCTGTATCGGGTTTAGTGAACTTTCATATTTACTTTTTTACATTGAAAAATGGGTACAAAAATAATTTTATTTGGGGAACTGTTCCAATTAGAGTTTACACTACATCCTACAGCAATGTGAAAGAATGCAGCTCTCTCTTTTCCTGTCCTTGTGCAATTAAATTCTGAAGGACTAAATTTAAGCTTTGTTAGGTATTTTGTTCTGACATGATAACTGACACTATAGTCACAAATACTCTCAGTGTGTCTTCACATTGCATTAAAATATTTTATTTACAAATTTTGGCAGCTATATCCATCCATCTTCTAGCTACAGTACATCATCCAATTCACAGTCACTCAGGAGTGTGGAACATATTTCAGCAAGCAACAAGCGCAAAGCAGGATACACTCTGGATAGGACACCTGTCCATTCCAAAGCAGACACAGAAATGGACTAGCACCCAATCTCACCAGGGCCAAATTTCCCAGAAACCAATTAACCTGCCAGTCTGTGTATGGACTATGGGAACTCGGAGCACCTGGTGGAAACTCATGCAAACAAGAGGAAAACATACAAACTCAACACAAATAGCACCCCAGGTCAATAATTGAACCCAGAGCCCAAACGCGGGTGGTTTATTACTAATAAAGGAACAGCCATACCTTTTTGTCTGGTACATGGCTTCTTCCACAGATATAACACGGAAATACAAGCAAAACCAGGCTAGTTTCAGGCAACAAACTACTGTATATGAGTATGAATTGCTTTAAAAATATTAGGTAAAGGTGGAAATTTCTGAGCTGTGTCATTTTTACTTTCCTTTCTTAATTAATTTTTAAAACTGAAAGACGAACAATGTTTGTCTGGACTGGCACTTTTACTAAGTACTCACTTTAAGAGTGGAGTAGCTTAGTAAATGTAGCTTTGATGATCGGTTATAAGAATGTGACCAACAATAGCTGACACTAAGCACCTTGAGGTCCGTTCCATTTACCCATTTTACATTTTATCTCCACACTAACATCTACTTTTGTTTGAAATATCTTTGCAAGTACACAGGGTAAGATTCATCAGACCAGACAAGTCTGAAAGTGGATTCTTAAAAACTGAACATTGGTTTACAAAAGTTGATCCATAGGATCATCAGTACAAATTTTAACACATTGAACATTCTGGTTATTCATGTTTTGCAACTCCTGTTCTTCTTAATACCATAGCAGATTAACTGGTTCTATGGCAACCTCTAATTCAGTATCTAAAAGTATACAACTGTAACACATGCAGTATATCTATACAGCATGTAAAGTTTTACATTTAACAAGTGTAACATGGCATAAGAAAATGTATGAGGATGTATTCAATCAGATCTTAACTGCCTTGTAACTTTTTCCTGAATTAAACAAATGTAGACATTACTGAAAAAAGTAAACAACATAATTGTCTTGATGTTGTATGAGAGTATATGTGTTATGAATGATAGACAGGATTGCCATTGAATTTCATAGGGCCCCTGGACTAAGTAGCAGTCAATGCTTGTACAAGGAGTACCCCCACTCTTGTGTTTGTAAAGAGCTGAGAGGTTTCCCATGAGATAAGAGGCTAGGGCGGCAGTATCACAGAAAGAGGACAAGCAACTTCCTGTTTACAATCAGTTAATCTTCAAGTGTTGGTAATGATGTCATTAATCTTTCAAGGTTTACTTTTCAAACCAATTAATTGGAAAATAAGACTAGTAAGCAGAATTAAGCAATACACAGCTGTAAACAAAAGAAACTCATACAAAGGAAATAGTTTAAGGATGTAACTTATGCAGCATTTGTTCTCTTCTCTGATACATTATATACAGTACTTAGTGTTTCAGAACTATTCTTTAAGTAGGGAAAATGAGATGCTACATTACCACCTGTTTTTTTTAATATATATTGAATATACGTATTTGAATATTTGGAATATATCTGCTTCTAAACGTCTATCATTAAAACTTTCGAACACTAAACTGTGCCATTCCTAAGGTTAAGAACAACCAAATACAAAATAAAACCATGATCAATGTTAAAGATAAACATAGGGTATTTACACCTAAACAACTCCGAAACAAAGAAAAGCTGCATTTAAACTAGTGCATCTAAAAATTATAATGGTTCATGTCTATAATGTGAAAATGCAAAAAGAACAGAAAATACATCTGAATTTAGTATTTTAATAACAAAATGAATGTTTATTTGGATTGCTCAGTCTAACAGTCTAATCTTAGTCATGCAATAAAAAACTTCAGAAAGATTTTAGAATTTACATGAGGCTGCCTAAAAAACAAGCTTGGGAGATTAATTTTTGGCTATAAAAATCAATCATTTGTATTTTCTAATGTAATGCAATGTTGGAGATAAAAATAAAATATCGGAGAAAGGATATGTCTTTCACTGGACCTTTGTCAGCAGAAGGAAATTAAAACTGTGTTGTATGAAAAGACTGAGCTACCGGCTGCATTAATGTGTGTTATTGTATCAAATTACTCATTAAGTGTATTGATGTTCAGAAAGGCACAGCAATACTTTTCATTTCATTCCTGATAAATGAACTACTGTTCTATAAAAAGTGGTGTTTTGAAGTTGAATTTTTAAAGCAGAAAATATAGTGTCTTTGTGCAGAAAAGGATTGAATGATATAAATAATGAGGACTGTTTTGCCAAAAGAAATGTATTTGACATGAGAGCTGAATATTTTAGAGAAAGCCTTCTGAAGTTGTAAAAAGTTATTGAATAGAATGGAAAAAAGTAAAAACAAAAATCAGCATGTTACAATCTTACTGAGTAACATTTGAAAAAACCCTTTTTTTCAAAAATTTCTGTTGACAAAATACCTTATCTGCCAAATCAAGTTTCATTCTAAACCAGCCGAAAAGTATAAGAAGATTGTTTTCACACATCTGTTTCTTTTTTGCTTTTTAAAAACTCTGTTAATTAACAACTTCATCTGATCAAATGTGATTTATGGGATTTATTTTTATTTATTCTGGGCCAAGGCTTCTAAATACTAATGTACGTCAATGTCATATAAATCCATTTCTTTTTGTGGTGTCTGTCATTGTGATTGTCCACACCATCTGGACCAATAACTGCTTGATTACTGTATACTGTCAACTAGGTTTTTGTTTAAACAAGTAAAGTGAATGTTTCAGAAGTATAATTGTCCTTTCTTGTTGAAGTATAGCTGATTATGTTTTATGTCTGGATACTGGATATGAATCTGTATCTGAAATGATTCACACTGCATATTTCTCCCTATAAGCATGTGCATAAGTGCAATTTACAGTATGAACAATAGTTCTTAGTTTTCTGAAAGCAGATCGCAAGCACTTTCAATGGTAACTTTCAAGGAAAAAACAGTGTTTCATTTTTCAAGGTAAAATAAAATAATGGTTCTATTTGTAGCTCTAATTTATTGGAATAAATTTATACAAATTATACAAATTAACCATTTCAGTTCAGGCTCTGTACAACACTGGATATT